GCGTCCTGTGGAACTTAAGCATTTGTAACGTTTTTGTTGAGAAGTATCTAGAAACACACATTTTTTATTTTGATACTGAAACTTATATGCATTATATGGCTTTAGACAAGGATAACATGCACATTCAAACGGCTTAAGAGAAAGATAATCTAGCTTTACTTTTAGTAATTGAAATAAAGGTGTGGAACCATTTAACACACTGAAAGATATTCAATTAATTAAATAAATAGCAATCTAAAAGGCTTAAACTAAGTAAGTTAGAGGCATATGTGCCTGAGCAAGAAGTGTCAAGCCCATTTCAACTTTTTGCTTGTGTTTACGTTCTGCTCTGCCATTCTATAAAGATGTGTAAGGACAAGTGTAATACATATTGATGCCACAAGATGTGGTAATGGGAATCAATGGTTTATATTTAGCTCTTCCCTTACATTGTATTGCCTTTATGTTAGTTGCAAACTGAGTTTTGACCAATGTTTTAAAGTGATTAAAAGCATTAATAGCCTCTCCTTTGTGTTTTAATGGATATAGCCAAGTGTAACAACTAAAATCATTAATGAAATGGATATAATAATAATGACCATTAGGGGATTGAATGGGAGATAGTCCCCATAAATCAATATGGACAAGTTCAAGTGGAGCAGATGCATGGGAAGAATATACATCAAATGGGAGAAATTTTAATTTACTGCACTGACAAGCTTCATAGACATAATTCTCATCAACTGAGATTCTTACACCACAATGATTCAGAACTTGCCTCAAAACTCTAACACTAGGATGTCCTAATTTTTAATGCCAATTTAGAAATTCAGAATAATAAACAATTGGATGAAAATCATAAGAAGTAATATTAGCTCGAGGTTGAACTTCACTATCCATTAGAATTATTCCTTCCTAAGGCTTCCCATGCATCAATGTTTTCCATATTTGTTGATCCTTCACAAAACAACCATCATGAGTGAATGTAACCTCAACTTGATTATCTTCAACAAACTGATGAATACTCACAAGATTTAGTAGCAGAAGGAACTACCAAAACATTATTAAGTTTTAGCTGGAATGAAGGACAAGAAATATATATAGATCCCACGCCCTTAATTCATGAATGCTCACCAGTACATGTAGGTAAATGAGAGTGAAATGTATCGGATGATTGAATAGTTATCAAGCTCTCAAGATTTAGCATGACATGATAATTTGTGCCATTGTTGAAGTACTAGGCAGGGTCAGCAACAACGCTTGGAGTGGCATAGTTAGCTTGAGGGAAGTAGGATTCATATAGAGGTGGCTAGAAATTACAATCAAGGCGATAATAGCAATGGGCCACAATGTGACCTAGACGATGATAGAGATAGCAATATGGATGATTGCCCTGTCATGAACCACGACCATGAGAGCGTCCATGACCATGATAACTTCTCCCTGTAGGATAACTATCATGGTAGTCCTCTCAATGAGCAACATTCACATTTGGTTGAATGGAAAAAGATGCAAACTAATTTAACTACTCCAGACACAACTCAAACGCTAGCAGATATGCTTGAGCCTCAACCCATATCAGATTGGGTTGATTGATGAGCTTAACAACAATAGCATTATATTCTCCGCCTAAGCCATTCAGGGTATGAGTGATTAAGTCATCAGGGTCTATTGGAGAACTTGTAAGAGTCAATTGATCAACAATATATTTCATTTTAGACAAATATTCTTCCATTTTCATGCCATTTTTGCTAGTACAATAAAGTTTTACCTTGAACACCATGATTCAAGCCTTAATCTAAGTATTAAAAATGGATCTAGCAGCATCCTACACAGCTTGATCAGAATGACAATGAAGAAGCTATGAGCTAATGTCCATTATTATTGTGTTTCGGAGCCATCCAACTAGGAGGTAATCAACGGTGTGCCACTCCTCAAACTCAGGATTTGGTTTCATCCCTACACCATCAAGAATAAGACACGGCGGAATAATTTCATGGCCGTTGATATGACCCTGTAACTTGTTTCTTTCAATCAATGGTAGAATCATAAATTCCTAAATAAGATAGTTTTCTCTGTCTAACTTGACAGAGGTGGCAGCCTGATTAAAGAAGCTAAATTGAGGGTTGATTTTTGCACCAGTATGCACAATTATGGAGATTGGTGAAATGGTAGAGTCAAAAGAGGAAGAAGATGAATTAGAAGAAGCAGCTATGGAAGCAATATCAAGAAAAAAATGCCAAAAGGCGCTTTGATACCAAGACAGAAAGAAAAAGGCAAGCACAATATAAATGGTAATACTAAACCTCAATAATGAGTCTAAAGTAATGCTTTATCATATATATTGCAAATGGTTATACAAGAGGCAATCAAAGGTTGACATATGGCAGAGAAAATATCTTTATACAAACCATGTGACCTCATATAAGGAATGTTTTACATCCTACAAGATTAAAATATAATACACAAATTAATTACATGCTTAGATTAATTACATCCTCTAATAGTAAGTGGGCATTCAATGTATTTACTAATCATAACCTAAAGGAATAAGGTATGCTCTCTTTGGTTTGGCGTGGACTTACTCTTGCTATAAAGGATAGGAAAGCGTTGGTACCCATTGAAAAACTTAAGGGATATCTTCATAGAAAGTAGAATAGCTAGGGTCATCACACTTTATATCTCCTATAATAAAGGGATCTGTATTTGGTAGACTCTTGAAAAGGAAGACATCTTGTATGGTAACAATGAGAGTGCCAAAAGGGAAGACAAGCACGGATTTTTCACATACCAGAATTGGAGGAGGGCTTGCAAAGAGGCTGCCATCTATAAACGTGCAACTCATAAAGTCAATCAAGTTCAAAAACCTTAATTGACTCCAATCCCTTGTGAAATGGGGTCAAAGATGATCTACCCACGAGACCCAGCAACTCTTAGGGTTATTCCTTGGCCAACATTTGGTCTTATCCAAGGAATGATGCTCCTAGACTCTTGCATTGAAGAAGCACTCACTTGGAAAAAGATAGAGGAAAGAGATAAGCAAGGACCTTCAAGCCGAAGTGCAAGAAAAAGAATAAAGAACCTCTTGGGTTAGTGGGCTTGAAGGATAGAGGTTTGACCCTAATAAAAGACAGACCAAAAATATCTATGACTCAACTAACATACATAGAGTAGACTAATATTATGCATAACAAGACAACTCAAAAGTAAGAAAACACATCCAAGCTAAGTTTTAAGAAAAAGAATACTAAGTAGAAGCAATGAAGGAGATTAAATGGCTTAACTCTAGAGCTACAAATGAGAATGAAGTCGTGGTGGTTAGTAGATCAATCAGTAGATGCCGAGTAGAGCAAAATAGAATACGAGAAAAATGAAAGAAGCAAAATGATTAGAGCACTTGTTGAAGCTTAGGAAGCAAAATGACCAGCCTGTTATTTACCACATTCCTTCACATTCTATTTCCTCTCCAATCAATGCAAGTTACTTTTTTGGGCGTGCTTTTGCATCCATGACTCATGTAATTTAGGCATTCCAAGAGAATTGTAGTACAGGATCTTGAAAACTCATAATCACTAACAATCATGTTGAGGATTCACTCCTCTGACCCACTTGGCATGCATAAAGGGCATGATGCTCCTGTTTTATATTAACAAGAAGATTTATGAATAATTTCATAAAATTCAAAGGATGTATTCATAATTCACTTTGTTTCAACAGAAGTTTGTGTGTGTTTTTTTTCCAGGTTAAAGAAAATTTTATATAATATCAACAAAACTCATGAATAATGTATATAAATCCATTTCATTATTTTTTTAATCTTTTTTTCAGATGATTATTTTGGGGGAATGACATATAGATATAAGAATTCTCATGAAAATTATAATTGATGAAATATAGAATAAAATAATTTAACACTTGTATTAATAGTTTGAGATTCAGAAGCTACCGCATTATAGGTGTCCGAGTCAATTACTGATTTGGCAAACTCCTCAGAGAACGGTTATGATGGGAAGCCCCATAAGAACCCTGTCATGCATTTCTCATGCCTTCAAACTAATCACAATTATTAAACACACACATTGTTCACAATTCTGACCCCAAAGAAACACACACACACACACAATAAACAAGCTGCTTCATATTTTTCACACAGATTTCTCCATCACTACCAGGTATGCTTCCCATCCAGTAAATTATATTAAGATTAATTCATCTATTCAAATTATTTGATTACTTTCTGATATTAATTTAATTTTTGCAATTTTATGAAATTTAATTTGATCATGTTATTTTAAATGGCAATCTATAAATACGATCACCCTTTTCCTTCGGAGAACCTGATGAAAGAATTAACCATTCTGTGTTTATCATGCTAATCATTGGTTGTCTTGTCTCTGTTTCCGGCATTTGATTGTTTTCGTCTGTGCATTAATTAGTTTTCCTACAATGACTTTTGTGCGAACCTCTAAGCTAAAGGCTTGACATTTAGAAATAACGTAAATGAACGTTCTTTAGTGAAAGCCATCGGTGGAGAACGTAAATGAGAAATTTCATGCGGCCGGTAATCACAAAACTGAATGGCCCAGAAACATAAGAATCTTATGCCTATGTAATTGTGATTTGAACATATTATGACTGGGCTTCTGTTTCTGTTTTTTTTTTTTTTTTAATTGCCCTGGTTTCTCAGCAGCAAGAAGATATAATGATGACTTTTCATGTTTTTACCAATACACACGCATATATTAAGTAGCTAAGATTATTGATTTTTGGAGCAATTTCTTTTTGACTATTTGTTGAAGAGTCGTGTCTTTTCAGTGGAGCATATTTAAATAATTGTGAATGGTATATGATGAATGTCTATACAATTTGTACAACTATACACTTTATTTTTCTAATCTAAAACCTCATCTGGACTTAGTCTTATTATTTGTGAAATATCTATCTCTAGCTCGCAAACCTCATGTATTATGATTGGTTAATTTTTTACATACATTCTTCTTTTCCTTTCTGGAAAATTTTTCCATGTAGTCTTGTACTAAACACGCACCAAGTGTTTTTCTCTTTTCATGAGGCTCCTTCCCTCATGATATGATTGGTTATGTGTCTTTCTCTCTTTGAAAGGCTCTCAAGAGACAAATCTTGTTTGATTGAAAACTTTTGAAGCATTTCATAAACGAATCGACTTGATTCAATATAGGAGATCAAGGAGAGAAGAGGGATGGAAGAGTATGGAGAGAAAGCAGAGGTGAGAAGAATGCAAAGGGAGCAAGAGAGAGAGAGGCGACGCATAAGAGATAGAGAAAGGAGACAATCAATGACTCAAGAACAAAGAGAGATACATCTTGCAAGAAGGAGAAGGAACTACCAACTCAGAAGACAGAGAGCTGCAAACAACAACAACACTACTTTCTTCCCTCTTGATCAGGCTAAAGAAGCTAGTACAAGCCGTGGCCATCCAAGCCTTGTTTCTTACTCCATTTCAGATTATAGAACCCTCCACAATGACTCAGGACAGGAATCTTCCCAAGGTGAGTTCTTGTTTTTTCTCCCAAGAAAACAGTTTGATTGTTGAAAAGAAAAGGAATAGAATGGATTAAAAAAGAAAAAATAAAAATAGAATGATCAAGATGTGGAGAAAAAAGATAACTAAATTATGTTTATGAAGAAGAATAATAATTGAGTTCATGAATTGATAGAAGCCAATGTGATAATTTTTATATTTATAGTGTGCGTTGTTAAATGTTATCATGCTTACCTTAAGGTGGGGGAATAATTTAGTTTATTTTTTGTTCCTATCTCTTTAATTCATTTCATTCTCATTTTTTCTAATAATCAAACAGCTCCCTATTATTTTAGTACCTCTTGTACAAGCTGTGTGCTGGAAATTAAGATATTCTCTTGTCAGAAACTGTGCTGTCCTTTTCTGGATGAAAATTAGTCTAGTGTATGTCGGATTGATCTGCCAGGTTACATAGGAACATATTAATCCAATTGCTAACATACGTAATGCACTGCATAGCAATTCATAAATACCTTTCCCAGCAATTGGATCAAACTAACGAATTAGATTTTAAAAAAAGAATTCAAATGAATATTTCAACGCAATTTCTTTCTCACGGGAGAGGATTCGCATGAGATTGTGAGTTTTTTTTTTTTCTTTTGGGAGAAAAAACTCATCATAGTCCATAAGAAATAGGTCAATTCTTAATTTATTCCCCCATAAGCAATTCCTTCAAGGATTTAAATCCAGAATCATCAAAATGCTTGCAAATTTTGCATTCAAAAAAACATCATGAGGGAGTAAATTAAATTGAGAAAATTGTTTCCATTTGTTTTAACTTCTGTCGTTGTTGGTTTGCTGCTAATGTGAAATAATAGGATCGGAAGTTCATATGGAAGCTCTTACTTATAAACCAACAAATTTACCAAGAAAGTTGCGTCTGAATCATATAAGACAACTTGCTCGGAACTTGATGATGCACTCAATTGCTGATCATGATTCTCAAACTGGGATTGACCAAATTGTTCAACCCTTGATGCCCAATGGAGGTCTCTCGGGTAAGTTGCAAGATAAACCTTTTACACATACCTCTCTCTCGATTGTGTTTCCAGATTCATCTTTTCATCCCACCACCGCTTCTTTATGGCAAAATGTCATCTTTTAGAGGTTGGATCTTCTGAAGTAATTTATCTCCATAAAGTAGAGATAGAGATTTGAAACTAAATGCGTATGTTTCACCTTTGTATACGTGATATAGGACTGATTCCTTTTTACTCGTCACTATATATATATATATATATATATATTTCATTGGATTTGGAGTATTTGTTGCACTCTTTGCTGGTTCCTTTAATGCTCAGAATCTCAGCATTTCTTAGCCATATTTTCAAAATTTCATATAACTAACCAATAAATATTGGTCAAATTAGTAAGGATTTGGCTCATAATCCACGAGATCGTGAGATCAAATCTTATTATTAATGTGAAGACTTTATTAGTAACAATCTATGAGTACTTCTATGAGCATTAGCTCTTTGAGTATAAAAGTACACATTAGTCATAATGAACTTTCAAGATTCAATTGATCTAAACTTTTTATTATAAAAAAATTCATCTATTTTTTCTCTTAACAAAAAATTCTTATTTTGAGTATCATGGAAAGGGAAACAAAGAGAGCAGCAGACGCTCCAAATTCATATTTGATCCTATATAATACTTCAAAAGATCTATAAATTGCACATTTTGCCCAACTTTAGAAAAATAAAATGAAAAAAAGAAAATGATAGGAGTGCAACAGTAGAGATAAAATAATTCATTTAGATTGTGAGAGCAGTGAATTCGACCAAACAATAAATAAACTCGTAAAACTATGTTTAATGTTGAATTATATATCCAAAATTCAATATGGTTTTAGCATTTCCACGATTTCCTAGTAATTAAATTCCTCCACTCTCATTGCATGTGTTTGACACTCCATTTTGGTTCATGAATTTCAGGTAGCACACAAAAATCCTTACGTTTGAACCGCGTGAAGCAGCTTGCGCGTTCACTAAATTCTCCCCCTAAAGAGATTTCATCTCAGCGCCTAAACGATACTACTTTGCAGGAAGCAACTAATAATATCACTTTCCCGGGAACTTATAATGGCGACGGATTCAAGTGCTGTTAAATGTAGTTTCTTAATGTTGCTGTTCGAATGAATTCATTGAGATAGGATGTGCCGCCAGACAAGAGCTAAGGATTCAATCCCATGTTAATGACAAAAGTTAATGTGTAAAAATATTCAAAAACCTTTTCAAAAACTTCTGGTATCCTTATTAGTCAATGTTAAGTTCTATGGATAGAACTTATTGATCACTGTTAAGTTCTATAGATAGAATGAACTTATTTGTTAACTTCATGCTATTTTAACAGATTAGGGAATGTTAGTCATTTTTATAAAGCTAATGAATAACATGCATCATTATTGACTAAAAATATTAGAAGCTTCCAGAAAAATTCTTTTTTTTTAAATATTTTTGCACCTTAATCCTGATGATAATGGGTGCATTTTCTCTACTCTATTTCTACAAAAAGGCTTGGGTTTTACTACAAATTGACACATTAGATAAGTTGTCACATATATTTATATATAAATATATAGGTAACATTTACTATATATCAGCATGCATTCAAAGGCATTCACTTACCAACTACAAGTTATTAGAGGTTACGTTGGGTGCTATAGTGATTCAATGTAAGTTTAGGACCTTATAAATTATATCCAAAAAATCATATTAGAAAAGTTTAATTTCTCCCTGTTCGCATCTCAACCCCGAATAGCCTAGCAAATTATATAAGGGAACGTTCCAAAAAATAAAATCAGGGTTAAAAGGATAGTTTCATATTTAAATTGTAGGTTTGACAATGTCTGGAACTTTTAAACTTATTGTTATGTGATACTTCCCTTCAAAATTTAAAAATGATACAATATCGTCACACAGTTAATAAAAATTAACATTGACTATTAATTATTATTTTTTGGGAAAATCATATTCAATGACTTATGAAGACAGTTATTCAAAGATAAAGATTAATATAAAATGAAAACACCCTTGTTTTTTTTTTCAAATAATAACTTATTATTAATCATTATCTATGAATAACTTTTTTCACAAGTCTTTATTTGCAATTTTCCCTTATTTTTTTTAGTTAACAAAGAAGATTAAATTATTTTAACTTATAAAATATAAAGAATAATTTATTATTAAAGATGTATAATCTTTGCATAAATTATTATAAAATATTTTATTATCCTATGTATTTCTTATATATTTCTTTCTAACTATTTCTTTAAGGGCACAGCCAAATGCCTTTCTACTTGCCCCTCTTGCATTCCAAACTAAAATAATAAAGACATAGACAGAAGTTAAACTCAACCTTATAAGGTCAAATTAGTCTCCATAAGAGCCCCTTAGGCCTTTTACTAGCCAAATAAGTTATAATTTATTGAAAAGTCTTATAATTTATAATTAATATTAGTAAATTAACAAGTAAAGCTAGCAAAATTAATCTTATTAATTGTCTGATAAATAGATATAATTTATAAGTGATAATGATAAATTAACAAGTATAGTAGTAAAATTAATAACTAGTGATTCTGTATAACAAGGGTATTTTAGTTTTTTTACCATTGGAATTAGTTTGATTTTTCTACTCTAAATTGAACTAAAATTTCAAAGAAAAAATTAGACTGATAAGTAATTAATTTTTGACCTGATTCTTAATTAAAATTCTCCTTTAATTTTATTTCAACATTTGACACTTAATAGTCAACCTTTTAATTTTATGCCCAATTTTCATATATCATTTATCGGGCCACAAGTCCACAACATTCTCTAAGCATGTGATGTGGATTGATTGTATGGGATATTGGTACAAGATTTAATAGTCACACGATAGCAGAGAGCCTTGTTCGTTTTTTTTAGCCTTATTTGTTATTCAACTGATTCTAATTTAATTAATAAATATTTCTTCTAAGCCCTGTTTAATTATATAAGTGGCTTCTAACCATTTTACCAAAATTAAAGAAAAATAGTTAAATTTTGCATATTGTTGTTCAAAAAAAATTAACTTTCCCTTATTAAATGTATTTTCTTTGAAAATACTTTTTCTCTCATGTAAATGTTTACCCTCTTCTCATTAAAAGTTGTAAAAAGGTAAAACTAAAAGAAAGTAATCAATGATTCATTTTTTAATATAAATTAACTTATAAAAAAGATCATAACTTTATTTTAAAAAAAATGACTTACATATATGACAAGGGGAGTATTTTAATTATACATATATAACTACCAGATAAAATATAAAAATAAATATAATAATATCAATATATATCTATCCACAATTGTACTAATTGAGGGAATGATGAGATTAAAGAAACATATGTAAAGGGTGTGTGTGTAAATGATGCATGGCCGAGCAGAGTGGGTTATTTTGTTTCTTATGAGCCATGACTTTTCAAACATGGAGATGTAATTGAGTTAAACTTATTTAAATCAAGTTTAAAATGCTCTATAACTAAGCTCGATTCTAATCCCTTAAGCTTTTGAATTTATTCAAACTGGCCTAAAAACTTAATTTATTAACTATTATATTATATTATTTTTTATTTTTATTTCAAAAATTAAAATTTTTAATTTTTATCTTATTTTATTAATAATAAAAAATAAATTTAAATATTTAAGCTTAACCCATTTAAATTTATTTAGACAGCCTAAATAAATCTAAAAAAAATTCTTGAACTCTCAACTTTGGCTCTAAAATTTTTTAAGTTTCTTTTAACTGATCCTTATACTTGCCCAAATTACCACCCTTTATGTTGACGAACCAAGGGCTCTCCAGTTTTTTCATATCCTTTTCTCTCCACTTCCGCAATTCTCACTTTTTGTTAATTCTTTAATTAAAAAAGGATTAAAGTATAATTTTATTATTAAATTATTTTTAAATAAGCAATGTTGCTCCCAAACTATTCATCATAATAATATTACTCCTAAACTACTTAAATCAGAGCAATGAGACTCACTTTTTGTAAGTTAAGGTGTAATTTTGTCTCAAAACTATTCTTAAAGGAATAATGTTGCCCTCATCATTTAAAAGTCATAAACCCTATTAATTGTAATTAGTGATACCTACTTTTCATTACCTCTCTCTAGTTAACATTGAATTAGGTCAAAATTTCAACAAGATTGTAGCATTTCAATTATTGAATTAGTTTTTTGGGTAACCACTTTATAATGGTCTATGTATAATTTTTTTTTTAGTTTATAATATATATGAGAGAGTATATTTATTTATGATATTCAATTTTATAGGCTGATTCACTTAATACAATAAGAAGTGACCTTTTTATCTTAAAAATATTGTTTATATGCTTTTTATTGGATCAAGATCTCCTTTTATAGTGTTGTGAGGGGTGAATTTATACTTCAACTATTATCAAATTTGTCACTGAAAAAAATTACTATAAAAATTGAGCTTCTTCTTAATATATAATTCATGACTCATTGGAATGTTGGTAAAAAATATCATGACATATATAAATGTTTTCACATGAATATCAAATATTAGAAATGATGTGAATGAAATAATGCTAGTATAAAAAGTATTTGTCATCATCTTTCTCTAGTTAACAGGAGCTTAAAATTTTTAAAAAGGCAGCATTGCTCGAATTTAATTAGCTTAAAAATATTGCTCATTTGAGAATAATTTAGAAATAAAATGACACATTCACTCATAAAAAGTTAATGAATATTTAAATGGCAAGGAAAATATTGGTATAATTTAATTAATTTTTAGATAATATTATTATGATGAGTAATTTAAAGGTAATATTACTTCTCTCAAAATAATTTAAAAGAAAAAAAATTAATTTTTTAATCCTTCAACTTTTAATTTACTTGTAACTCAGTTCCTTAACTATGACTCGATGTGACTCATTTCCTCAATTATGACTTGCCTATGACTCAGTCCCTCAACTTTTGAATCACTTATAAATTAGTCCTTGAACTTTTGTTAATTTTTTTTATATTAGCTTATATCTCACATCAATGAACAAGAGAAGGGTATTTTAAAATAATACATAAACATTTTTTATCCCTCTTATTTGATAAGAAATTTTTTTAAAAAAAATTAAAAAATAAGGACTGAATTATAGGTGAATCAAAAGTTGATATATTGAGTTACAGTAAGTTATAGTTGAGAGACCGAATCATAACGAGTCATAGTTAAGGGATTGAATTATAAATGAGTTAAAAATTAAATGATTAAAAATTTAATTTTTTTAAAAAGGTAAATTGATTTTAACTTTTTTTAAAAAATTATTTAATAAAATTATATAAATAATGAGGATTGAGAAAGTAAAAAGAAATAAAGGAAAGTATCCGCGTTGACGGTAGCTTGAAATTTAAAAGCAACGCTTTTCGTGCAGACCTACTATCTAAAATAGCACCATCCTTGCCCTCTAGGCCTCTACCGCTTTCATATCAGGGCCTCCTCTTTCTCCCGAGCCTTCTCATGGGTAATGTAAAGGAACGCGTTCTGGCCCTCCTATACCATAGGTTTTTATTAACATGTCTCTTCTGAGTTGTTTCTTTGCTCGAAAGAGAGAGAAGCCTTCTCTACTCCTCTTCGTTAAAATTGAAATAAATTTAAACTGTTGAGATCAAATATATAAACACTACAGGTGTAATATTTTTATTTTAAATTTATATTTTTAAAATAAAAAATATTAAAAAATATTAAAAAATTTAATAAATATACTTATGAATATGGAAATCCAAATTTAATGTAAATGCTTTAAATTTAATATAAAAAATTTAAATTTTTAGACATATTCTGAACAATTTAATATATTATAAACAAAACAGTAAATTTATTAAAAAATTTTAATACTAAATTTAGAATATTTATATTAAATCTAAACTGTTAGATTGATGAGTATATTTATTAAAAAAATTTCTAATTTTTATAATTTTTAATTTAAAAAAATAAATTAAAAATGAAAAAAATTAAATATAAACCATTCAAATTAAATCTGAACAATTTAGATTATGCTTCTATTTTAAAGGAAAAGTAGAGGAGGCTTCTTTTAAAGGAGAGAAGCCTACTCCTTCTTCCCCCCACCTCTTTACATCTTCCCCTAATTTCGCTCCTTTCTTGTCCTTGTTGTCATCTCTGAAAGTTAAAAACAGTTCAACCGTGGCAGAAATCCTAAGGACCATAATAGAGGCTTAATTATTAATGGGTCTAACAAAATTTTAAAATTTTAGCTTAGTTT